CTTCTGTATTGTGTTTGTCTGGCGAACACAATACAGAAGCCTGTTGATGGCAGATGAGATTCTGCTAAAACGTTGCTACAACTTTAAAAGCACAACTATAATGACATGGGAAAATACCTGAACAAAGCTGAATACCACACACACACACACAAACATGATATTCATATATACTTCAGCAACAGAGTGGTCAATGTCTGGAATACTCTACCTGACTCTGTGGTTTCTTTCCCAAACCCCCAAAACGTTAACTTTAGACTGTCTACTATTGACCTCACGCCTTTCCTAAGAGGTCTGTAGGGGGCGTGCATAAGCGCACCAACGTGCCTAATGTCCCTGTCCTATTGTTTCTTTATTTTTCTTACATGTATCCATTTCATGTATTCATAACTATGTTTATACTTATACCTATTATCTTGTAAGCAATTAACAAATCAAATAAATATTGATATATAGATATAAAACAAGGAACCTGCGAATATATAGTAACAATAAGCCTTGGTTCACAGCTAAACTTAAGCAGCTACGTTGTTCCAAAGAGGAAAATAACAGAAAAGGTGACAGAATGCTGTACAATCAAGCCAGAAACATATTAACAAGAGAGATCAGAGCAGAAAAAAGAAGCTACTCTGAAAAGTTAAGGAACCAGTTCTCAACAAATGAATCAGCAAACTTGTGGAAAACACTTAAAAACATCACCAGCTATAGCAAACCCAGGCAGAAGGAAATCAACAACTAGCAGATGACTTGATGTGTTTTAGTGCAGTTTTGAAAGGAAACTACAGCCACCTATCTCTACAATCCCCATCCCAAACACACCAAAACCAGACAAGTGACCCCAACCCATTGGGTTTACAACCTCTGATGATCACAGAAAAAGAAGTGCAAGATATATTTCACAGAAAAAAGCCAGGAAAAGCACCAGGGCCAGACAAGATAACTCCTTCTTGCTTAAAAGTCTATGCTAACCAATTGGCCCGAATCTTCACCCGAATCTTCAATAAATCACTAGAGGTGTGTTATGTTCCTTCTTACTTCAAAACACTTTACTATCATCTCAGTACCACAGAAGCTCTCCATCAGGGAACTGAATGACTACAGACCAGTTGTTCTAACATCTGTAATTATGAAAACCTTTGAAAGACTAGTACTGTCCCACCTGAAAACCATCACAGATCCCCTTAGATCCCATACCAAGCAGTTTGCATACCGAGCAAATAGATTAATAGATGATGTTGTTAATGACTCTGCACTACATCCTACAACACCTTGAATCTCCAAATACCTACGCAAGGGTCCTCTTTGTAGACTTCAGTTCAGCATTCAATACCATCATTCCAGACATTCTTCTAACTAAACTAAACCAGCTAGCAGTACCTGAACACATCTGTAAGTGGATCATAAGCTTCCTAACAGACAGGAAGCAGCAAGTGGAACTAGGCAGAACCACATCTGATAATTTGCACAGCTGCCCCGCAAGGCTGTGTGCTTTCTCCATTTCTCTTCTCCCTATATACCAATGACTGCATCTCAAGCAATCCATCTGTTGAAATTCTGAAGTTTACAGATGAAACAACAGTGATTGGTCTCATTCAAGATAACAACAAATCTGCACACAGACGGGAGGTTGTACAATTTGTCTCGTGTTGTAACTGGAACAATTTGAAACTGAACACACTCAAAACCGTAGAAATGGTGGTAGACTTTAGGAGAAACCTTCCCATACTACCACCTCTTACAATGCGAGACAACACAGTATCAACAGTAGAGACCTTCAAATTTCTAGATTGTATCATATCACAAGACCTAAAATGGACACCTAATATCAAAAACATCAGAAAAGCACAATGTTCTTTCTGTGCCAACTCAGAAAGCTCAAATTGCCCAAGGAGCTGCTGTTACAATTCTACAGTGGAATTACTGAGTCTGTCACCTGCACCTCTATAACTGTCTGGTTTCGTTCTGCAACCCAACAAGACAGACAGAGACTTCAGAGGATAATTAGGACTGCAGAAAAACAATTACTACCTACCTGCCTTCCACTGAGGACCTGTATACTGCACAAGACAAAAAGAGGGCTGCGAAAATATTTACTGCCCCTCACATCCTGGACATAAACTGTTTCAACTCCCATCCTCAAAACGACGCTACAGAGCACTGCACATCAGAACAACTAGACACAAGGACAGTTTTTTTCCTGAAAGCCTCTGCTAAACAAATAATTCCCGCAACACTGTCCAACTATTTACAAAGTTTGCATTACTATTACTATTAATGTTCTCATCACTCCTTATCACCCATCCCCTCCAACTTAACAGATAATCAGAGTTGGAAGGGACCTTGTAGGTCATCTAGTCCAACCCCCCGCTGAAGCAGGAGACCCTACACCATTTCTGACAAATGACAGTCCAGTCTCTTCTTGAAAGTCTCAAGTGATGGCACTCCCACAATTTCTGAGGGCAAGCTGTTCCATTGGTTGATTGTTCTCACTGTCAGAAAGTTTCTCCTTATTTCCTGGTTAAATCTCTCCTTGTTCAGTTTCCATCCATTATTCCTTGTCTGGCCTACAGGCGCTTTAGAAAATAGCTTGACCACTTCCTCCCTATGGCAGCCATTCAAATATTGGAAGATCTGCTATCATGTCTCCTATGGTCCTTCTTTTTACTAGACTAGCCAAGCCCAGTTCCTGCAACCATTCGTTGTATGTTTTAGCCTCCAGTCCCCTAATCATCCTGGTTGCTCTTCTCTGTAGTTTTTCTAGTGTCTCAACATCTTTTTTATAATGTGGTGAACAAAACTGGATGCCGTACTCTAGGTGTGGTCTTACTAAGGCTTTATGGAATGGTATTAGCACTTCTCTTGATCTTGATTGTATCCCTCCGTTAATACAATTTAGGATTGCATTAGCTTTTTTGGCTGCTGCTGCACACTGCTGGCTCATATTTAGCTGGTTGTCCACTAAGACTCCAAGATCCCTCTCACAGTTACTGCTATTGAGCCTGGTTTCACCCTGTCTATATGTGTACTTTTGGTTTTTCTTGCCTAAGTGTAGGACTTTACTTTTCTCTACATTGAATTTCATTATGTTAGATATGGCCCAGTGTTCTAGTCTGTCAAGATCCATCTGGATCTTGAGCCTATCTTCTTGGGTTTTAGCTATTCCTGCAAATTGGGAAGTTCCCCTTCTATTCCCCCATCTAAGTCGTTAATGAAGATATTGAAGAGTACTGGGCCTAAGATGGAACCTTGTGGCACCCCACTGCTTACTTCCCTCCATGTAGACTTAGACCCATTAAGGATTACTCGTTGAGTATGGTTTGCCAGCCAGTTGTGAGTCCATCTAGCGATGGTGCTATCTATTCCACTGTTTTCTAGCTTACTAAGAAGTAGGTTGTGGTCTACTTTGTCAAATGCCTTGCTGAAATCTAAATATATTATGTCCACAGTATTTTGCTGGTCTTCTAACTTAGTCACTGTGTTGAAGAATGAAATAAGATTGGTTTGGCATGATCTGTTTTTAACAAACCCTTGCTGACTGCTTGTTATTATTTTACTTGTTTCTAGATGTTGGCAGATCTGTTTTTTTATTATCTTTTCCAGTATCTTCCCAGGTGTTGATGTTAGGCTGATTGGTCTATAGTTTCCTGGGTCTGTTTTTTTCTCTTTTTTTGAAGATGGGAACCACATCAGCTCTTTTCCAGTCCTCTGGTAGTTCCCCAGTGCTCCAGGATTTTTGAAAGATATGGTGCAGTGGTTCTGAGATGACCTCTGTCAGCTCCTTTAAAACTTTGGGATGTAATCCATCAGGCCCCGATGATTTGTGTTAATCAAGATCAGACAGGTCTTACTATTTTTTGCTTATTTTAACTTTTATTTCAGGTCTGACTTTTACAGTTAAGTTTTTGGTGGGTTGAGCTATAGTTTCTTTTTGAGTGAAGACGGATGCAAAGAATGAGTTAAGCAGCTCTGCTTTCTCTCTGTTGCCTGTTACTTCCTTGCCATCTTCTCTCTTTAGTGGACTGACTCTTTCCTTTATTTTTTTTCTTCTTATTTATATGTTGGAAGAAACTTTTTTTATTATCTTTGACTTTTGTTGCAAGTCTTTGTTCGTTCTGAGCCTTTGCTATCCTGACTTCGTCTTTGCAGATTCTGGCTATCTGCGGATATTCTGCCTTAGTTGTATGTCCTTCTTTCCATTTTTTGTACTTGTCCTTTTTTTCTTTCAATTTGCCAGAGAGATCTTTGTGCAGCCATGTTGGTTTCTTCTTGGATTTCTTGTTTTTTTTTTCTCAGTGGTATTATGCTGGCCTGGGCTTCTATG